CGGGTGACGCGGCGGGTGACGCGGCGGGTGACGCGGCGGGTGACGCGGTGGGTGACGCGGCGGGTGACGCGGCGGGTGCTGATGCTCGCTGGCCCACCACTCTCCGTGGCAGTCCTGGGGCTCTCTGTAGCTCGCGCCTTGCTTCCCGCCTCGGCCTGGCTCGCGGGTGCCTTGGAAGTCGAGGCACCCGGGTCGCCGGCCTGCCCAGGGCGCGCCCGCTGTCCCCCGGCCGATGGGCCCGCAGCGTCCCCGGCAGCGGACGGCGGAGAGATTCTCTCAGACCGTCGGCACCGGTCGGCGTTGGGGAGCCGCGTTTGCCGGGAGCGCGTGCTCAGGAGCACCGCGTCCCTCGGGGCACGCGGCCCAGCCCAGCAGGACGCTGCTTGCGCGCCATCCTGAGTCAAGCTTACTCAACAACACAAAATCACTACAAAGAACTTCACTTTCACAAATCACTAAACACTTTCACAAAACACTTTCACTGAACACATCACACCTATGCAGCACCTGAAAAAAGGAAAAAAGGCGCGAAAATTCGCGAATGCTGCAACGCAGCGGGGTATCTCACAGGCAGGGCGTCGCTATGCAAACGTGCCTTAGCTGCTGGCCTCGGGCCGGACCTGTGATAAAGGAGAGGGAAGAGGGACTTCTATCTGTTCTTTATTTGTGCACCCGGAATTCCTGGCTCTGAGTTGCCGGGTGAGAGATCTCAACATGACACCACTCACTCCTATCTTCCAACTTTGACCGCTGCCACCAGTGTTGTGAACCGGGGCCAGGGGCTCGCGGTTGCACTAGGAGGCAGAGGAGGTCGAGTGAAAGTCAGGAGTTGAGCAAAACCAGTTTTTATTGAGTCTTTAAAACACAAGGAACTTTGTAGCTCGGAAGCGGGTAGCGCGGGTGCACAGCAGAAGCGGAAGAACGCGGTAGCGTGGAGAGTCTGAGAGCGGAGCGTCCTACTCGTAGCCCGTCCCAGACAGAAGTGTCGGGCGGAGCGACGCGCGGCCCGCGCGTCGCTCAGTCGAGCCTTCCGCCAGAGCCCTGGCGGGTGGAGGGGGGTCGCTCGCTGCGGGAACTCGGGTTGGGGAACAGCGCCTTTGAGTGTGCATGTTGCTGGAGAGATTTATGAGAGATTAATAATTGCGATTGACAACGGACAGGTCAGTTTATTGTTGTATGGGGATCCCATGTACAAAATTTTGTTCACCCGGACAAGATGTTTTGGGACGAAGAACTGATAGTGGAGGTCACTAGGAATATATAGTTATGACGACATGGGCTTGGCAGCCCTGCCACTGTCTCCTGTTATGTTGGCAATGACTGAAACTGAAGAACTGATGACAGTTCATGCAGTACGTTTGAATTGTGAAAATTCGAACTTTTTTTTCAGATTGTAGCTTATGTAATTCATAGGTGTGAATCATTCGCACTATTATGTAAATTGACGGGTGGCAGAAGGACTGATAGGAGAAACGAGATAATTTCTGAGAAAGAAAATGGGAAAAGGATTCAACTATTTTTGAAAATGATAGAAATGATGTTTCTAAGCAAATAATATGTTTCGCTGCCGATTATTATAGAGTTAACTTTTTTATTTATGGAGGGTTAAATGTTGTTTTTACATCGGGGTCTGAATACCTACAGTCAATCAGACAATGCAAAGATAATAACCCATGGTTGTTCTACAAAAGGGATCAAATTAGGGATGCCGGATATCCTCAGAAGAATGCTCAGCTCAGAGATGAGAAACGGTCCCAACCCGGTCCTGACCAGGGCCCGATCGGCAGGCAACCCGGGCCCGACCCTAGCCTGCACCTTAGTTGCCCTTAGGGGGCGAGCAGGCGGACAGACGCTCCCCCCGCCCAGCTAAGCGCAACTGTGGTGCAGGCCCGGGTCGGGCCCGGGTTGCCTGCTGATCGGGACCGGGTTGGGACCGTTTCTCATCTCTTGCTCAGCTAGATGATGAACCTTGTGAATGTAACCTTTTCCAACTTTCACCTTAATCCCAGCCTTACTTAACGCCTCTGACCCCCCCCCCCTCCCCCTCCATACTCTCACACCTCCCAGTGACAGTGATTCTCAACAACTGCCAAGATCTAACGGCACTGTTAAGCCACAAGGAACTTCACTGTAAAGGAGAGAGTCACCTTTTTTGCCCGAATAGAGCGACGTATGTTTTCATCGCTGTAATCAAGCAATGTTTGCAAAAGTCACTCAAAATTATTGACATTTGGAACTGAAAACGTCGCAAATGTGACTCTAAACGAGCGACTTTCCAAAATGTCACTCCCCCAGGAGTCACCAAATTTGATGGAAAATGTCGCTCTCCCAAGAGCAACTTAAGTCACTCCCCAACTTTCAGTGTTGTATGGAAGTGCCTGAACATGAAAGAATCTTGAGAGGCAATACAAGGTATTTGCCAAACACTT